CTGCCGCGTCGATCCGTTGTGGCGTCGTCGCTGCGTACCAAGCGTCCCTGTCGCCAAAGTCGTGCGGTGGCAAATGCTCACAGGAACACCCGAAACCCCAAAACCCTCAACCCTCGCGCGACTCTTCCAAGCTTTTCTGCATGCGATTGTTGCCAAGCTCTGTATTAAAACAACCAGAAATGGTGTCGGTCAGTTGCAATGCTTTAGTCGCCACACTATGTAATTCTTAAGCAAAGATGTTTAGGGACTGTGGATCTGTCCTACTGTGTTCCAAACCCCTGCACACTGTCCTGAGCAAGACCCAGAGCGCGCACGCCCTGCTTCAAGTGGTCGCGGTCATCTGTCCACAAGACTGCTGCGAAGCTCTCTTGAATCTGGTAATGGATCGTAGGGCTACTTCGCCCCAAAGGAGAAAGATTTTGCTTGTAGCTATCCAGACAGCGTTTCTCATAAGCTGCTCCTTGCCCAGCCAATGGATCACGAGAAACTTGCAGTGAAATAAGCAACTGCCGCCAACTCACTACGGGAGGCGCTTGTTTCTTGCCACTATTGTCATCCTGGAGCTGCTGCAAAGCTTCTTCTCCCAGCCGAAAAGCAACAGCTTTAGAGTGCAGCTTGCAACCCTGGCTCGATCACCTGAATGTCTCAACAGATCTTCGAGCTGCAGTGCAGGAGCGCGCGCTCCGGGCCTGCAACAACAAACTGACTCGGGGAGCCATGTTTTCTATCTATGCTTCGTCCTTATAAATCCTGATGCTTCTACACAGAGTGCACAACAGAATACAAACGACATACTGGAATACGAGTACCACACCTGCCTATTCTTGACAGCAAATATATGATTTTTATGGTAATATCTTTGCTAATCTCGAAAAGACATCGCCATGCTGTATTGGCTAGCTGCATCGCATTCTACCAGAATTGTCGTGCCGAAAGCACTTTCGCCACCCCAGACTGTTCAACTGACATGCTCAAGCACATGTTTTTTTGCCTATCTTCCCTACACAACAAACGCCAGAGAACCTTATCTTGCAATAATGCCACAGAGTGCTGCCTCGGAGTGGCACAGCTGTCTCTGCGAGTATGAACGACTGGCTACTTGTCATTCTGGCTTTGGCTTTTGGAAGGCTTCCCTGGTTAGCACCTTCAATTGGAAGTTGAAAGTCGGGAGGGGTTCCGTTAATGCTTCTAGATCTACGCTTCTAGCTTGACTGATAAAGAAGCTTGTTTTTGACTGCATATTACGAATCGCTCTTCGACTTTCCCTACTACCAGTGAAGCCTCCTGCATGTGCAAAACTTTCTGAGACCGCTCCAAGGTCCAGATACCCTGCTGCGTTTGGCGATTGTGATTGTGACAAATCAGGCCTAGGAGCAATGATTCACTGCAGACTTGGTGCCTTGCCTACTCTTACTCTGTGCAACCTACCCAGAATGCTACTGTTGAATATACTGCTAACCTCTTTTTGCTGCTACTCTGTGGCTGTTTCATACTACTTGTGCTTGCTGTAACAAAAGGAATGCGAATGTAATCGGCATTGGCCTCTTGGCACTTCCGCTGCGAATAAAGCAACCATCTTGTTTGGAAAGCCGTAAGTAGTAGGGATCTAAATTGTTGCTCCCCTGGGTGTTGTAAAAATGCCTCCAAGCAATATCTCTGCAGACCTTCTTGGTTACCCAATCGATTTGCAGGTAACCCTTTCGCACCTCCGGCCTGCAACCCTTCACCCATACAGCACAGGCCTCACAGGAG